AAGTAATTCTACCAATCAGAAGCTTATGTAGTTTTTTCCTTTTTTCTCTTATAAGGCAAATGCCCAATGTTATGTCAAAATTCATGGCAAAGTTTGTCCAAATGGTCTCATATATTTTGCATAAGTGTGCATCTTGGAATGAAAAACGATGTTGCTAAAGGGAGTTTTCATTTTATTTGCACAAAAAATTTATTTTCCATTTTTCGAGTGCCCCAAATAGGTTTTTTTGTGAATGACCTACCATATATTTGTTGCAAAATTGTACCGAACCAATTTTCTAAAATATTAGGCCATATTTAATGAACAATTGACCAACTGGTTGGGTGTCAAAAGTTTTGATCCACCTTTCGTTAAAAAGACAAATTCCCGCCGATTTAGTAGGAAGCGGGTCAAATTTGAACTGCAGCTGCCTCATAGTTTGCTCTTTATTTTTTTTCAAAAATCATTTCTAGGTACATAAGTATCTATTTAATCAGAGAAACTTCAAAAGTTTTCCAAGATTCAACCACTAGCTAGGAACGGTCAAGCCCGCTATTTTGACCGCATTTTGAAACGGCATAAAAAATTCAAAAAAATCAAAAAAATGGAAAATCTTCGCATTGTGTCATTATATGTGACCAAGTTTCCAGGAAAAATAATAAACTTATAATACGAAAATTATTTTAAAAAAGTGTTATCAGAAATGAGCTATCATGCGTGAAGATGCATGGCTTTCAAGCCAAATGATCAATCTTATGGCCACATTCATGGCATAATTTGTTCAAATGATCTTATATTGTGCATAAGGGTGCATCTTGGAATTCCAAACAATGTTGCCTAAGGGAGTTTTCATTTTCTTTCCACAAAAAATACATTTTCCATTTTCCGAGTGCCCGAAATGAGTTTCTTTTGTGAAGGACCTACCATATATTTGTTGCAAAATTAGACCTAATCAATTTTCTAAAATACGAGGCCATATTTAATGCATAATTGACCAAATGGTTGGGTGTCAAAAGTTTTGATCCACCTCGGTGAAAAAGACAAATTCCCGCTGATTCAGTAGGAAGCGGGTCAAATTTGAACTCCAGTTGCCTCATAGTTTGCTCTTTATTTTTTCCAAAAATCATTTCTAGGTACATAACTATCTATTTAATCAGAGAAACATCAAAAAAACAAGATTCAACCACTAGCTAGGAACGGTCAAGCCCGCCGTTTTGACCGCATTTTGAAACGGGCATAAAAAATCCAAAACAAATAAAAAATTGGAAAACATTCGCATTATGTCATTATATGTGACCAAGTTTCCAGGAAAAATAATAAACTTGTAATATGGAAATTATTTTAAAAAAGTGTTCTCAGAAATGAGCTATCATGCGTGAAGATGCATGGCTTTCAAGTCAAATGATCAATCTTATGGCCATATTCATGGCATAGTTTGTTCAAATGATCTCATATTGTGCACAAAGGGTGCATCTTGGAATGGCAGACAATGTTGCCTAAGGGAGTTTTCATTTTCACTGGACGAAAAATTCATTTTCCATTTTTCGAGTGCCCGAAATGAGTTTTATTTGTGAAGGACCTATAATATATTTGTTGCAAAATTGTACCAAATCAATTTTCTAAAATTTTAGGACATATTTAATGCACAATTGACCAAATGGTTAGGTGTCAAAAGTTTTTATCCACCTCTGGTGAAAAAGAAAAATTTCCGCTGATTCAGTTGGAAACGGGTCAAATTTGAACTGCAGTTGCCTTATAGTTTGCTCTTGATTTTTTCCAAAAATCATTTCTAGGTACATAAGTATCTATTTAATCAGAGAAACACGAAAAAAATTCCAAGATTCAACCACTAGCTAGGAACGGTTATTCCCGCCATTTTGACCGCAGTTTCAAACGGGCATAAAAAATTCAAAACAAAATCAAAAAATTCAAAACATTCACATTGTGTCATTATATGTGACCAAGTTATCAGGAAAACTTATAAACTTTTAATACGGCAATTATTTTAAAAAAGTGTTCTCAGAAATGAGCTATCATGCATGAAGATTCATGGCTTTCAAGTCAAATGATCAATCTTATGGCCACATTCATGGCATAGTTTGTTCAAATGATCTTATATTGTGCACAAGGATGCATCTTGGAATTCCAAACAATGTTGCCTAAGGGAGTTTTCATTTTCTTTGCACGGAAAATACATTTCCCATTTTCCAAGTGCCCGAAATGAGTTTTTTTTTGTGAAGGACCTGCCATATATTTGTTGCAAAATTGGACCTAATAAATTTTATAAAATAATAGGCCACATTTAATGCACAATTGACAAAATGGTTGGGTGTCAAAAGTTTTGATCCACCTCTGGTGAAAAAGACAAATTCCCATCGATTCAGTAGGAAGCGGGTCAAATTTGAACTGCAGCTGCCTCATAGTTTGCTCTTTATTTTTTCCAAAAATCATTTCTAGGTACATAAGTACCTATTTAATCAAAAATATATGGTTTGGTGGCGATACGTCGAGGTTTTGACGGTGGCTGAGGACCCCAACTGTAGAGCGCGTAAGCTCGCATGCCCGTCGCATGGTCACCGTGTGACCATGGTGTTGCCATGCGTTCTGGGCGGACTAGGATTGTCTAGTGGGTTGGGCACTCCCCAGGTAGGTGCTTTGGAAGAAAATTATAACATAAGATTCTCATGAGGAGACCGAACTATGCTCAAATATGAATTAGCAGCCAAGTGTTTGATTAGCGGTACGGGAAATGCACATGGCCAATGGGCGTGTGTTTTGGCTGAGGATGATCATATACTAAGAAGAATGTGTTCACAAAATTTTAGGGAAATCATGAATATATAAATAACACTTCCTTCACAAAGTGTTGCTCTGAACAGAATAGGAAAATGAATATTGTTGAATTATTTTTGAACTAGGCAAGGAAGGTTTTTGACATATTTGATGAAGATATGATCCAAACAATTTATGAGAATTTTTTGGGAATTTTTGGAATAACAGAAATATAGGTTGCTTCAGAACCTAGGGCAAAAATTGACACATGGACATGACACATAGGCAAAACTGATGAGATGGTGCCTAGTCATTGCAACCCACCACAATTTATAAGGCTATGACCATCTATATTGGTCATTAACAACTAGAAATAAGGCAGCGGACTAGCGCTGTTTGCTTTATGACCATTTCATGTAAGGAAATTACGACATTTCTAACTAAAATGGTCACAATGGTTTAGGGTTTGGAGCCCCCCGAACAGCCTTTAACCAATTGGTCTCAAATGGTCATAGATCTATGGCCAATTCTTCCAGGGTCACTGACAGAAGGTCACTAGTTGACATATTTCTTGTAGTGATCGTACGGCCCGTGAAGGGCCATGGTCGGGCGAGTTGGCCCCCATTTGAATGATAT